ACTCACCTCTGACAACTGATGAAAACGATCCCTTGATCTTCAAAACAGCACGTGTTCGATTGCGTGATGGAGTCGAGCTGGCAGTTGATTATCTCGTCGTATCAAATACCGGACGTTTTCCAGTAATTCTCGAATTGACACCTTATGGACGAGGACCTGGCCGAGTGAATTATCGGTATGAAGCTTCATATTGGTGTGAGCATGGCTATGCATTTGTTATTGCTGATTGTCGAGGTACAGGTGACTCGGATGGTGAAATGGCATTTTTCAGTCGTGAAGGTCAAGATGGATATGATCTGATCGAATGGATTGCAAGTCAACCATGGTCCGATGGTCGCATTGGAATGCGTGGTTCCTCCTATACTGGAACTAATCAGTGGTTTATTGCGCGAGAACAACCGCCGCATCTCTCATGTATTACGCCGAGTGCTACACTTGGCCGCCCAATGCAAGACATCCCATATCGTGACGGTGCATTTGGAGTCGGTTGGGCGATCAACTGGATTAATTATGATTTAAATATTAACGTATCGCAGATAAATGAGTCGCATCCTGATCCTATGATGTGGCTTAATCACCAGCCGCTTCGAACATTGGATCTCTATGCAACAGGAAAGAATTTAGTACTTTATCATACATTTCTTGATCATCCAACATATGATAGTTTCTGGCGCAGTATCGATTTTCTCCCGGACGACTTTGCGCGTATCACTATTCCATCGCTTGCTTTCACCGGGTGGTTCGATGGTACTATGTTTGGAACAATCTGGCATTTTCAAGGAGCGCGTTATCATGCACCACGAAGTGCTAGTCAATTTCTTATTATTGGTCCGTATACGCACGGAAATGCGCCTGATGGTGGCTACAATTATCAAACGGGAAAACCGATGACAACAGTTGGAGATCTTTCTGTCGTCGAAAATGCAGTGTTACCAGGTTTGAATGTGACACGTGAATTTTTTGAATGGTGCTTAAAAGATGGTCGACGACCAGATTGGAAACCAGCTAGAATCTATATAACTGGAAGTAATCGATGGATGACACGAGATATTTTTCCACCACCAGAAGCTTACGAGCGATCATTGTTTTTGACCAGTGCAGGACATGCTAATAGCATAGAAGGGAATGGTCGACTACAATGGGACGTACCAAGTATGACTGCAATGGATACCTATGTTTATGATCCTACTAAACCAGTCATAAGTCAAATGAATAACAAACCTATTAGCCTGCCTATAGATATCAATGCGTATCTTGATCGTAACGATATCCTTGTGTACACTACTGAACCATTGAATAAGCCAATTACGGTAGTTGGTGATATTGTCGTTGAATTGATAATCTCGAGTACGGCACGTGATACAGATTTTGTAATCGAATTAATGGATGTGATGACTGACGGACGCTCGATCAAACTCGGTTCTAAAACTGCAAGTCAACTTCGTACACGCTATCGTGATGGCTTTGATCAAGAAATATTGATGTCTCCCAATGAGACTTATCTCATTCGAATTGATGTGCATGCTATTGGACATACGTTTCTTCCCCAACATCGTATTAGATTAGCAATTATGAGCAGTTTTTTTCCTTGGATCAATGTAAACCCGAATACTGGTGCATCAATCGCTTCTGATATGCAACCGCCTATCGTAGCGAATCAAACTATTTATCACGGATCTCACCGAACATCTCGAATTCGTATGATGCTGATCGATGATCCGACATTTGATGAATAAATAGGTCTTCATCACTTTCTTCCTATGAACCTCTTTTGTAGAACAAAAACTTTAGTTATGGATAAATCTATTTTATTGATTGTTTCAGTGAAGTCTATTATGAAATATTGCTAAATCATTAAGGTGCATTGATGTAGGTGTGGGATGTGGATGTCACTGTGTGTTTGTACATGCTTCTGCTCTTCTCCCACGCGCACATCTACGATGTTGATAGGTACGCGGTGAATGTTGTACAGGATCTTATGGTTGTTGTCGCTGCTGCTACATGCTCGATTCAGTCAACATTCCAATCATCTTCCATTATTTCGATCATAGTTTGTGACATTTTCATTTTGAATGATCAATGTGAGCTAATCGAATATATCTGGGATAGAGCAATTATTATTCCATCGAATTCCGATATCAAATTTGTTATTCAATAATGCTTCATTAAAGAGAGAACGAGGAACAAAAACAGATCTCTTGTTTGTCAACACTACTGTAAGACTAGAGCATCGACATAAGCTCTATATCCATTGACAAAATGATAGATTTGACTTGAAGAAAATTGAACAGCAGACCATAGTTGACTTTTCCTCCATTTGAAACGGTGAATGACGACATGAATTGCCGCATGCCATGCTTTGCTCCTGATGCTTGGTTATCACAAGATAGATCTTCAATAGTAGATCAACGTGTAGCGTTACGAAAACAACATGTTTTCATGTAGAATATGTCTACTAATGATACAAAAGTATCAATGGTTATCTATTTGCTGTTTAATGTTAGCTCTTTCATTTCCACATTTTTTTCCCAAAGTAACCCTTCGAAAAGATTCATGTGCTGTGAGGAGATAGATAAAAATTTCTTGAAGACAACAAGCATTGAACATGATGGCTGATATTTCCGTTTGTAAACGTGTGGCCAACTCTTGAGCATCTTCTTGACATAATGTAAAACCATCTAAGTGATTGGAATCCAAGAGCCTATCTGCTGCATATGAAATGTAAGCATCATGTTGACGACGAGTGACTTCCGACAGTGTGGGTCGTTGGACTAGAAAACGATCAAAAGAAAACAGAAAAATTGAGCTGTATATTCACTAGAATACAGTTACGTGGCACATAAGTACTGATGATTGATCAATAATAATAATGGCACTATAATCGGGTGCAGTATCTGGAACGACAGTCCAACGAACAATGAGCATTAGATAGTGAGATGAAAGAAGAAGACAACGATGTCATCTTTCCTACCAGTATCATCGTCTTGCTGTCCCTCTATCATAGGTAAAAAATAAACAAAAATACTTTTACATAGAAAAATGTTTATATTTCTACACTATGTTTGATAAAGGCAACCTCGTTTGTCAAAACATCATAATGTTACTTAAAGTTAGACTAATTCATGATTTTATTATGATTATTTTATTTTATTAAATTTAGAAATATATGCATTTTAGTTTCATTGTTACAACTTAATTCTGAATATTAGTAAACTTTAAATTTAGTTTTCGATGAAACATCAACTAATAACGAATAATAAACTAATTACTAATTAACTACATCCTTTACAATAACTTATAATGAATGCCGATATATTTACAAAATTTTCTGTTACTTTCGATAAAGAAAATTACTTTTTTTGCACACATGCAATGTTCGTATAATGCTTAATCCTAGAAATGCAATGTGTAGCACCTGGTGCGCAAGTATTTTGTGATATTGAAAATGAAAATTGAAAATCATTTTGACCAAACAAGAATAAGGTATGTGACTAAAAGAACAGCTAGTATTAGTGCGCCCACCATCAAATAATGATATAAAAAATGAAGCGCAATATGCGGTTCGACGGCATTGGTTATAGAAGCAAATATGTAGGTATCTATATATTCATCACGTTTTTTTACGATTCTAATGCTCAAACATTCTCTTCATGATATGTTTTTCTTATTACTTTGTTCTTAATAAATCAAGAAGAATCAAAGCTCGTGCTATATATCATTTGTAATGATATTAGTGACTTATCTCATCCTTTCGTTTTACAGAAATCGGTTTCATCAGCAACTTTATTAAAATAAGCAAAAGCGTTATGTCTGAATCGAGACATAACTATTGACGTCGACAGATATTTTCAATAGTCGAGAGTCAGTAAAGATCAGGACTTGTATGCAGAATGAATCGATAGACTTAAATATAAAGGAAGTTTTTTGTAATTGAAAGAATATATCTAATATCTGTTAAAGATTCGAGTGTACAGAAATTGATCCTATTCATTGTAAGAAAAGTTCATGACAAAACAAATGACATTTCAACCCCAAACTACGTATTTTATCACCTATTTCTTTTAGTTGATTATTTTACAGTCACTTTGTTGAAATATTGGCAAATTTACGAGTGTTATCTACTTCTTTTGAATGTATTCTGCTTTGGGACCAATTGCAGCTGATTTACTTGTTGAGTTAAAGAACCAAACAAAACGTGTTGAAAGGTATTTGAATTTAATAAGAATCATTAAAGTTCTTTTTCAATTTTAACCATTCAGTGAAATAGGACGGAGTCGACAATAGTCTGTGTGTGGAAATTAAAAAAAAAAATTTCATACCTAAAGTTTGGGAATCTAGATTGTTCTTTAGGAACAACTTCGCTTTTACGAATTCTCGATATCAAAATTTTTTTCTTTCATACACACAGACTATCTCACTGGATGGTCAAACTTGAAAAAAGCTTTATCTCATAAAAATGGCACAAAACTCATAAAAATTTTCTTTTTTTGGAAAGTGGTATGGTTTCCATCGATTTCTTCCCTAATCTAGGTTGAACAGTTAGATGAAGTGTTATTTTCGCTTCCCACTCTTAACGATGGTTCGTGGTCGACACATTTTTCAGTCGATTACATTCCCACACTTGTTGGAGTAATTAATACACTACAAAACACTAGATGTGAATAAAAGATACGATCAATTTTAGCGATTACTTTAGATTATTATACTACTTGGATTGAAATCTGCATAGTTTTTCTACAACAAAACTATTTAAAGAGTTTCTATCACACATGACAAACATAAAGTTTAATAGAAAGTAAAAAAGAAAGCATAATAACGCGAGGCCTAATACTGATATCAAGTATGTAAACACATGTATACTACAAGAGTTGTTAGTCCGTTACATAAGTGAAGAATTTCTTATAAATCTCAGACGAAAAAGTGAAAGGATTCGGAATGCATTGTTTTGACTAAATCTGATTTTATGTGGGTTTCTGTTTTAGTATAACTGATATTCGAAAATGGCAACGTTTTACATGTTCTATGCAATAATTTTACAATGGTTAATTTATTCTACGAAAGAAGTGATTCTTATAGGAATAAGCAATGAACAAAGCCGACCAGCATCTCTTCAATGTTATTCAGATTATAGTATGAGAGCGTATTATAATTCTAACGGAAAAGCTTTAGATGAGATGAAACAATTCGAAATTAACACTCGAAAATTCATTACTACTAAACGAGTCTTAAAATCATACGTCATCCCCGTCGTTTTCCATGTATATGGAACTAATTTTGCTGGGAAAACAGTTAATGACAATACAATCATCAGAGCTCTTAAAAAATTAAATGATGATTTTCATGGATTGAATCACGATTTCAACACTGTTCATTCTGCTTTCTTAGGAAATCGGTCGACATTTGATGTAACTTTTAAACTTGCTCGAAAAGATCCTAATGGAAGTCCAACAACTGGAATCATTTATTATCCGGAAAAAAGTGGCTATGGATCCAATGCTCGTAATAGTGAAATACAAGCAGAAGCATGGAATAATTATAAATACTGTAATGTATATATTCAATTAGATCTGTTTGGCAATAGTGAATGGTATCATGCTGGTATTGCATGGTATCCAGATAGTGGAATGTCGGATGCTAAATTAGCGCGCATTGTGTATAACGGTCAATATTTATATGGAAATACGGACGATGAATTTTCATCACTTTTAACTCATGAATTCGGTCATTGGCTTAATCTCATTCATACATTTGAAGATGGTTGTACAGCCTCATCTGAAAACCAATGTGATCAAACAGGAGATAAAGTTTGTGACACACCACAGACAGTGGGTAATCAAGGTTGTGGGGATGTTCATAATTGCGTTGGAAATTACGTCAACAGTGAAAATTATATGGACTATAGTGGTGCATATGGATGTTATAAAATGTTTACATCGGGTCAAGTAGCTAGAATGGAAGCTGCCATGCATCATGCTGCGAGAATCACATTATGGCAAAATGAAAATCTGATAGCTACAGGTGTCGTAGGTGATGACGATGGTAAGAATTATCTTCTGGAAAACACGATTGTTCTTAATTGAAGAAAATTTTTCCGATCATCAGAAACATTGTTTTATTTGATTTATGAACAGAATCATAGAAAAAACCATGACTTTTTTTCTTACTAAGTTGATTCAAATCCCGGTTCACCGATTGCTTCACTTCTCTTGAACTGCCATAAGCATAGTACAGAGGGACACTAGTCAGGATCTATAGATATTCTAGCATCTGCACAAGAAAGTTTTTTTTTATTTAACAGTACTACCACGAGCCGCTTATATTTGTCCTAATGCTACATGGATATCGAACGGAGCAATTGTGGCTGGCGGTTCTTGGGGTACAGCAAATAACAAATTAGCTTATCCAAGTGGCTTGGATGTTGATGATGAACAAACCGTCTATGTTACTGACCCATTTAATCATCGTATTATGGCATGGAAGTATGGTGCAACTACTGGCGAAATAATTGCCGGCCATGGTTACGGTGCAAATGGTCTCTTATCAACCCCAACAGATGTGATTATTGATAGAAAGACAGATGATCTCATCATTTGTGATGCAGGAAACCGACGAGTGATACGACAATCTCGCCTTAATAGTACAAATGGACAAACAATAATTTCGAATGTTCACTGTATGTGCTTAGCTTTGGACGATAAAGGAGCTCTCTATGTTTCTGACGCAAATCAATCTATTGTTCGACGATGGTCTCCAGGACAGCCTCTAGGAACGGTAGTGGCAGGGGGCGGCGGGCAAGGCGATCGTCTCGATCAGTTCAATTTTCCAAACTTCATATTCGTCGATCGAAACTATTCAGTGTACGTAGCCGATGGTTATAATAATCGTATAATGAAATGGGAGAAAGGCGCGAAAGAAGGTATTGTAGTGGCTGGTGGTCGAGGATCGGAAGATGATCCAGCACAATTGGCGAATCCTCGAGGTATCATTGTTGATCAATTGGGCACTATCTATGTGGGTTCGTATCACAATTCTGGAATAAAGCGTTGGAAGAAAGGAGCTACCCATGGAGACGTTCTTATTGGTGCCAATGGTCAAGATGTACAATCGATTCCACTGCAGGGTCCTCATGGAATTGCATTCGATCGTCAAGGAAATCTCTATGTTGCCGATATGTGGGGATGTCAGGTGTTAAGATATGATATTGACAAGAGCTTGTGCTAGTACTCCTTCAAATATTGATTTTTATGAAATAAAGCTTTCTATTTCTAGTTCGAAATAGCATCACATAAAAAAAACGGAATGGGAGTGTATCTGATAACAAAGATTAGTATGTTTGAATAATGAAATGAAAAGATACGTTAAGAGAAAGTAGTGATTGAAAGCAGGAACAGCAGACACAGAATGTCAAGGATGAAAGCATGTATCATAGAATATGTACATACAACGATCTGCAAGATTTCATATCTGCTATCAACGTCGCTCTCGATGTGTTTCGTGTCTAGACTATGTCCATTTTGGTGACATAAGTGCAATAAAAGAACCAAATCATTTGCTGAAGGAAAGATAATGATGACTATAGCGAACGAAGTGTCGATTAAACGACATACGATCAGCAAGAAAACGATCCTTCTTATTGAATCCAACAAAGATTATAACATAGGCCAATCAACAAGAACAATAAAACACATTCAATCAATTGGAATACGTTCTATACTAGCCATGCAATGTTAGGCATTCAGGAAAAAATCTAGATTATTTCAATAGTAATCATCCAGTTGTTTCGAAAAATACGATTATGACTTCGCTATCTCATGGTAATTCTTACAGAGATATCCATCTTTATCATACTCAATGTCGATATTATTAAAACGGAAGAACATCGAAATTCACAACAACAATTTCTTGGCATCATCAATTCTACAGTAATATTCGACGAGGAAGACGGTTGTCAACAATATGTCGAAAATTTCGAAATGCAAAATCGTATTATACTCATTGTTAGCAATCGATCAACTCACAAAATCATCTCTCGCATTCGTCAATATAGACAGATCTTGTTCAAATACTTTTTTTTACATGGGTGTAGATGTGGGTGTTAGTGCAAGCATGAAGCTTCTCTCCAACAACACCCCTACCCTCATTTTGTTCACTACCAGGAATAGTAAAGTGGTTCTAAACGCTACACCTGTTGATATCTGTCAAATATAGGAAGTTTGATCCCTTTCGCTGGATGTGAGGAAGTAAGGATGAGAGATAACCATTCGAAAGGCTGTTTTCTTCCAGTTTTGTAGTGCACCACTAGCGGGCTATCTTTGCTAAAAAAATGGCGCCGAAACTTAATACTATAGTGGAGATATAGATGAGATACTCTTTAGAACTGAAATGAAATACCTTCCTGAGCTATAGAATGCTTGATGCGACTTATATATTGCTCACCGCATGTGTACCTAAACTGGGAGCGAAGCTGTGTCCGGAACGTACCAATTATTACACAGATAGATAGTAGAGTTGTTTACCTTTGTAAATATCTATAATTGGAGAACCTTTTTTCATGATATTCAAATAGGACTATTTTTCCTCGAATATCCGTTTCCAGCTTTCTCTTACGAAGAAACATACTTGAATGTATCGCCTGAGAACAAGTTTAAAAGTATACTGTCTTATAGGAACCTTGGTGAATATTATCAATATCAATATCTTACCTGCTATCGTTTAAGTTTATGAGAACGAGAGAATCAAATGTTTTCGCATTTTTCATATAGTATCAGTATGAGACAGATCATTTTTTTACTTTTTCTAGGATATGAAGAGGCAATTAAAATTTTAAATAAAGTGTCATAGAAATTGAAGACAAATCGATATGGAATGACTGTTGTTATTTTTTTCACCACAAAGAACGTATCAAACGTGTTTTCCTGACTTGATGTCCATTCTGACAACTATTAATTAAAGAGAATCAATGTCATTTCTGATTAGTGTCATAGGATAAGATAATCAATACAGTAAATGTGTATTCTAAAACAACATATCTTCGTTCTTTTTGTTCCAGTAATATTCTAACAGAAGAACCACAAGAAAAATGTAGAGAAAAGGTGAAAGAACAAAATCGCTGTATCATGTGGGCATTCGTCTCTAACACCTGTTTCCGCAAATTAGTATAATGGAATTCTAGAGAGAGATTCTCCGCAACATATATATTTTTTAGATCGGGTAGAAATATACTTTTGATACACTCCTTTGTGGTAAAAAAGAAACAGTCGTTCCATACCGGGTTTTTTTTCAATTTCTATGATACTTTATTTAAAATTGTAATTGCTTCTTCAAATCCTAGAAAAGTAAAAAAATGATCTGTCTCATACTGATACTATATGAAAAAAGCGGAAACATTTGATGCTCTCGTTTTCGTAAACTTCAATGATAGCAGGTAAGATATTGATATTGATAATATTCACCAAGGTTCCTATAAGACAATATACTTTTAAACTTGCTCTAAGGGGATACACTCAAATATATTTCCTCGTTAGTACATCAACAAATGTATTTTCGTGATCTTAATATGATTGTGCATCGTCTATGAAGAGAATAAAAAGAAATTTTTTTTTATGGATGGCATTGTAAGCTTGGCTTTCAATTCGACCGATCAACTCTTTTCATTTTTTCTAGGATAATACTCTTTGCTTAGTCCGATTACGATTTAATTCATTTTGAGTTTTTCTCTATAAAATTTATATAAAAAAATACGATGATCTCGAAAAGAAAATCAGCAAATTTGATTGTATGGGTATAGGCGTGGGTATTATGTATGTGAGTATCCGTTTTCGGGTTGAAATCAAGTCTTTCATCTCCTAAAATGTGTTCGTATTGTTAGTCTTCATTTTCTTTTTTATAATATAGAGTCATTAGTTCTGATCTTTAATAGCACGTATTATTCTGACAAACATCCCATTCAAGAAATTCCAACCGAGGAATGATAGTGCTTTATTATTCCAAATAGATAATTTCTATGCATGAGTCAGAAATGATCCTACAATCATCAGAATTTTTCAATATGATATATGATTGTGCTATTAAGAATTTCATAATGAACTTTCACAATGTATGATCTATAATTGTTCTTTCTAAATATGAGTTCGAACGAGTTACTCGAGTATAAGTTTATCACTCATAGACTAATGAGAGAATGTTCCCAAATGATCAGTCGTTTTTTCAAAAAAGCTACTGAGCTATAGGTTATCAATCATCTTGATTTTGAATATGAACATAAGAAGTCCCCTTATTCATCGAACAGCTGAGAAAATCCTCAATATGCTCTATAATCTTAGTAGATCAGCATACAGTGTTAGCACAAACTATTCAATATTTAAACCGTAGAATTTTTTATCTAATTCTGAACAAGAATTTTTATGTTCATTTAGTGGAGCAAAATCATGTTTTATTATCGTATCATATTTATCTGAAACGCGATCATCATTGCCTAATTAATTAAATAATGTTAAATCTCAATCATCATCTATAACTTCTCAGTTGATTTCTTACAATACAATAGGAAAAAAAATGATTTCTCAATCACTACTCCACATAGAAATACTGGATCAAGCTAACATGATCCATTAGAAAATCTATTTAAGATTATTGGCTAATCACATTTAAAACTTGCCCTTTATTTCGAATATCTGATTGTTTATTGATTTGATTAATCTATTCTAAGACAGCAAACACAATTTCAAATGAACATTACTAATAAGCGAATACAACGAAAACAAAAAATGATTCCGTTTAACTTCTAATTATATAGCTACTAGATGTTTTTGTTGATGATATATGCGCAAAGACATGTGCAATTGAGATGATCGATCTCAGTAAAAAAGAAAAAGAAGAAGAAGATATTGACGTCGTCATTCTCGTTATCGGTGTTGTTATTGGTGATGATGATGTTATTAATTCTATACATAACATGATTTCTTCGATGTAGATCTATGCGGGATAGCGAACGCAAAAGTTATTGATGAAGAAACATTGACTACCGATAGAAGTAGGAGGACCAAAATGAATTTTTATCATTCTATCATCATAATAATGTCTTATTTTCTAGAGATAAACGATAAATATTCTATAGGAATGATTAAAGGATATTCGACAGCAAGATATGAGTTGTTGTTTAGATAGAAAAATACAACGAGAGAAAAGTTCAAATAGAGATTGAGGCAAGAAAAAAAAAAATCATTCTCTATTCTATGAATAAATAGGCATAGGAAAAAAGAAGGATGTGCGACATTAATCTAGACGACTAACAGCTAATGGCAACAACACAAACAATGAAGGTTACTCTTCAACGAGATAGTTTGCATACTCCATGGGGTTTTCGGTTACAAGGTGGAGCAGATTTTCGAACACCATTTACTGTTAATAAAGTAATTTAAAACAAAAAAAAAAAATTTCTTATCGATATAAAATTTAAAAAAAAATATATAGATTAATGCTGGTAGTCCAGCTGATGGTAATCTTCAGCGTGGTGATATTATTCTTGAAATAAATCAACAACAAATCAATTATATGCTTCATACGGATGCACTTGAATTAATACAACGAGCTGGTGGTCAAATAACATTTCTTATACAAAGGTTCGAATTAAAGAAAAGATTATTTATTATGTTTTTCTTTTTTTTTTTTTCTAGAGGATCTAATCAAAATCCTCATACATCATTATCACAAAATCAACGTTCAATGTCAGCTGTACCATGGCCATATGGAAATTTAAGTCCATCTTGGTCATCATCGGCACATCAACTTAGTCCTTTGGTATAAAAATTTTTTAGATTTTTATTTAAAATTTTATTTGTTTTTCTTAGTCATATTTTCGAAATCGACCACTAGAAAGAATACCTGAACCTAAACCATTGCTTAGGTATATAATTTATTAAAATTCTTTTTTCGTATTGAAATTCAGAATATTGTTTTTTTTTTTTTTTATTCTCAGTCAAACAGGTAGTCCAATGATGCCTGGTCCAGTTCCATCGGTATCAACAAAAACACGAGGTTATATGCAACCACCTTCGTTTCATACAGAACGAAGTAATCAACAATATGAAAATACATCATATCCTCCTCTTCGTTTTGTTTATCCGGGTCCAACATATAATCATCGTACTCGAACAATGTCAACAACAGCAACTTATCAAAATTCTGATGATAAATCATCATGGAAAGAACCATTCAATAATGAATCTAATAGATATATACCTTCATATCAAAAAAAAGTTCATATTAATCCTAATATTCAAACACAACATTATAATTCAACAAATCTTGTTCATCGTCAATTTAATTCACCTATATCACTTTATTCACATGATAATGTACAAGAAGTTATGAATCATCATATTAGTCGTGTTAAGTAAGTGTCTATAAAATAAATAATCAAAAAACAAATAACATTAAAAAGAAAATCTAATCTGTTTTTCCAGTCATATGAATCAGGATGAATTTATAACTGATTTTTAATGTATGTCCATTTTGTTTAATTCTTTTGTAGCAAAAAAAAAAAAAGAAAATATTTGCATGTTTGTTATTGTTTTTGAGTTACAGTAGAAAATGATCTTTTCTTTTTTTTTTTTTTTTTTAAATTTTAATTTTAGTATTATTCCAACAATGCCTAAACAATTACGAAATACTTACAATATTATTTTATTACCATCAAATCCTATATATACCTCATCAAGTTTACCTGTTTATTAAAGAGAAACCAAATACAATAATTTTGGGTGTGAATATATGTAGAATTAGTTGTTTTTCTTTTTCTTGTCAAAGTGAATATTACTTTCTGTATGAATGTTTTATTTGTTAATTCTACAACAGATGTAGATCTATATAAGAATATATCTAGTTCATTTATAACCTATTTTTAATTGTATGTTTGAGGCACACAAACCTTTCTTCTTTTATTTTTTTGTATTATCATTATTAAAAGTAACACTAAATAAAGCACTAATTACCATATTTTATAAATAAATATGCATACATATAGAGTTTATTAACGATAGTATTGAATGCTACCGACATCTACTTCTCGGTGATTTAAACTTAATTAAATTAATCTTCGTAAGCAATGATATTTTTTGTTTTTAATAATCTAAAAACAAAGTAAACTTTTTTTTTTTTTTCTTATGAAATTTCTTAACATTAAATCAGTAATTATACAAAAAACATCATAATCGAGTCAAGTTGAAGAATTCTATTATGGCAATTTTACACAGTGACAACATATGACCATGAAAAAAAAAAAAAAAAGTTGTTGGCTCATTTGTGTTGACATTTTTTTTTTTTCAATGTCTATACAATAAGCAATGTCAATCATCTATGAAAATCTCAAGAGAATTAATCAAATTAAACTCTTCATAGACGATTTAATCAAACGAATAGAACATAATAAACAGTTCTTTTCATAAATTTTTCCTTTTTTTTTTTCGTTCATTGTTTATTAATAGGTTTCTATCGTTTGTTTGTTTTTGTGTGTTGTTATTTTTCTTATTTCAGACATTAGTATTTGTGCTTGTTCGATTTTCAGTTCTTACTTCAACTTCTCTTTTACATTAACGAATAAATTCATTTCATTTATTATGTAAGTATTTAATCTTAACTATAGATATTTTCATAAATACAATACAATAAAAGAAAATAAAACAAAATCTTGCTTTTCTTTTTTGGCATATGTGATTATTTTTTTATATAATTAATTAGTTTCAAATGACAACAATAAATTTTAATAATGGTGATAGTCAAATATCATCATCATCATCATCTATGTCTGATGTTAATGGTCAGAAACCTGAAGATGATAGAAAATTATTTGTTGGTAAATATATTTAAAATTCATAGAAAAAAAATATATATTTTTGTTTTGTTATTATTGTGTAGGTGGTTTAACATGGGATACAACACAAGATGATTTACGTGGATATTTTTCTAGTTTTGGTAATATTCTTGATTGTTCAATAAAACATGATCCAACAACAGGACGTAGTCGTGGTTTTGCTTTTCTTATATTTGATAGAAAAGATATAGTCGATAAAATTCTTTCACAAAATGAACATTTTGTTAGAGGTAGAAAAGTTGATCCAAAACCTGCACATCGTCGTTTAGCTATTATAAATAATAATAATAATAATAATAATCATATGTCAACATCATCATCATCATCATCAAATTCAATATCAAATAATAATCGTAAAGTATTTATTGGTGGTCTTGATCCACGTTTTTCTGATGTACAATTAAGAGAATATTTTTCACAATTTGGAATAATTGAAGGTATAAAAAAAAAAAACAAATAGTTTCTTTATTTTTAATATAATATTATTTTTAGATATTGATTTACCATTTGATAAAGAAAAAAATGAACGACGTCCATTTTGTTTTATTTCATTTCAAAATGAACAATCAGCACAAGAAGTACTTCGATTACAAAGACATACAATTGGAGATATAACTGTTGATGTTAAAAGAGCTAAACCAAAAACTTTAAATAATAATCAACAACATCAACAACAACAACAAATTTATGATCCATATACACAACAAAATATCTATGCAAATTATGGAACTAATGTTCCATCATATGGTGTAAATCCTTATTCTACTGTTGATCCGTAAGATATAATTTTTTTTGATTTCTATTATAATTAGTCTTATAAGATAGTTATATAAATATTCTGAAAATTATGATTTTTTTTTAGTTATGGAACTTGGAATGGTTATTCATATAATCAACAAGGTAATTATTCATATGGTAGTTCTGATCCAAATTCTGTTCCTAATTCAACTACATTATCTTATTCTCAATATCAATCAAATTCTCAATATTCATACGGACCATCCAATGTTGTCAATGCTAATGAATATTATTCTCATTATGGTTATGGTGCTCCTCCTTCAACATCTAATGTTTATGCTGATCCAAATGGTTTGTTACTTTTTTATATTTGTTGGTTTGATTTTTTTTGTTCTTCATATGTATAGTCTATGGCAGTGGTGGTAGTAGTGGTGCTTATGATTATAATTCTTATTATACATCAGGAGGTATGAATATTAATAGTTCAATAGTTGATAATGGTACAGGACAACAAGGAGGTAATTCACCGAATGATGCAAATAATTATGATCATGATAATCATTATGGAAAAAATAAAACATCTATTGTTTCCAGTCCTACTTATCATGCATATCCTATAAGTTAGACAAATTTTTAACAAACATAGAATTCATTTCTTTCTTTTTTTTTTATAACTGTTATTATTATTATTAATCTGACATATACGCAAGATAAATTCATACACACACACAGATATTCGATAAATCCATACTATTGTTGTTATTTTTCTTCATGTAAACAAAGCAAAAAAAAAAAAAGAGACTAACCACCCGGTGTATATAGGAAAACGTTAATTTGTTGCTTTTGTTTCTTTTATATCTTGCGCGATATTGTCACACCGTCTATGAAGTTTTATATTGTGTGTGTGAACTTTTTTTTTTCCAAGAACCGTGATAGATTACACAAAAAAAAACAAACAAACAATAATGCCAAAGAAGAAAAAAAAACAAAGTATCATAGTAACTTTAAAAAAAAAAAGAAATAAAAACAAAATCAGGAACAACATATTTCATTTGTTCTTTTTTTTTTTTTTTTCATTGTTGATTTAGACAACTATATCTAATAATTCAATTACTTTTTATTTCAGATAAAGTTGATATTAGCCGTTTTTTTTTTTCGTTTCTATATCGACATTAAATTGTTTTCTTTTTTGTAATCATGTCCTCTGTAAATTATGGAAATGAAGGTATAACATCGAATAATGAAACAACAAATCCATCAGGTACAATTCTTCAACATCCATATCTTAATCCAAATGCAAATGTTGCTTATGCTGCAGCCGCTGTAGCTGCTGCTGCTGTTTCATCATCATCATCATCATCGACTGTAGGTCCATATCAACATTATTATGATCATACGATACCTTCACAACAACTTTTACATATGCAACCAACTGTTGGATTTTATCCAACAACAACAACAACAACAACAACAGTATTAAATCATCATCAACATCATACTGATTTTAATAATTCATCACCATCGATTGCATCATCATCGAGTTCAATTGAATCATCACGTAAAACAACCAATCGAAAACGTAATACAATTGATTCAGAAAAACTACCTGGAATAACATTATCAACTAAAACAAATACTAAACGAAAACAAATAAATGATGATAATATTGATGATGATGATGATGATGAAGAAAATAAATGCTATTTACGTGGTGCTCCTATACCAAATATTTTAATGTCTACAAATCATCCACATAGTGGTACAGGTGTTGAAGAAGATAAAGAAAAACAAGCACGTGAAAATCATTGTGAAATAGAACGTCGTCGTCGTATTAAAATGGCAACATATTTTGCTGAATTATGTGATATGGTTCCATCATGTTCAAATTTAGCACGTAAACCAGATAAATTAACAATATTACGTATGGCAGCACAATTTATGAAAAATTTACGTACAAATAATAATTCATTACCATTAAATTCAACACAAATTTCTCAACAACCACAAATTGATTTACATAAACCATCATTTCTTAATGATCAAGAATTAAAATATTTAATGGTTGAATCATGTGATGCTTTTTTATTTGCATTAAATTGTGACAATTTACGTATTATATATGTAAGTGATGCTATACAAAATATACTTTCTTATACATGTCAAGATTGGTATTCAAGATATTTTTATGGTATTACAAAAAAAAAAAACAAAATATTCATTGATTTATTTAAATAAATAAAATTTCTCTTCGTTTTTTGTTTTAAAGATTTTGTTCATCCTGATGATGTAGAAAAACTTCGTGAACAATTAAATTTACAACCACAAGATGGAAATACAAATGGAAATGGTCGAGTTTTAGATCTTAAAACTGGTACAATTAAAAAAGATGCACATACTACAGGTGCTCGATCAGGTAAATTTTTTGTAATTATCATTGATTTTTGATAAAAAAAAACAAGGTTGTCAAGTAAAGCCCAGACTCTATGTTAATTTCTAGTGAACATATTTAATCAAATATTTTTTTCATTATTTATAGTTAGTTCAAAACGATCATTTATTTGTCGTCTTCGTGTTGGTTCAGCAAACCCACTTGATCATACACATCAAAATCCATTTATAAATCCATGTATATTACGTCGACGTCATCGTACATCATTAGGTCCATCGATTGATGGTCATCTTTATGAAGTCGTACATATAAGTGGTTATATACGAAATTTAAATATTCATCATCATCCATCATCACATCATGATAATCCATCATCATCAACAACAACAACAACAACTGCAACAACAACATCATCATCAAATTCTAATGGTCAAATGGCATTTATAGCTATAGCTCGTATACAAAATTCATGTTCACCAAATGTAAATGATTTAACAAATGGTTCAATATCATCATTAAATTGTTTAACAACAGAATTTACATGTCGTTGTAATAGTGATACAAGTGAAATATTATTTATTGATCAACGTTGTACACCTATAATTGGTTATAAAACTCATGAATTATTACATAAAATTCTTTATGATCAAATACATATTGATGATCAAATTAAATTTCAAGATTTATTTAAACGAACAGTTACACAAAAAAATTTATCAAATACATCATCAAATTTAACAAATATAATTGTACGTTTTCGTACAAATATTGATAATGAATATATTTCATTAAAAACTTCAACATATGCTTTTTGTAATCCATGTACAGATGATATTGAATTTATTATTGTTACATTTTTATCAAATCAAACAACAAATAAAACATCTGTTATAACAAATTCAAATGATTATAATCGTTTAACATATGAAACATATACAAGAAATTCAAGTGCAATTGTATCAAATCCAATAACACGTTATTCACAACAATCACCATCAACATATAATAATCAAGATGGACAAGATTATTCAACTGGAAATGGTAATAATGATGGTAGAACATATGTTAGTAATAATGGTGGTTCAGCATGGGCATCAGCAAATGAGAATTGGACAACAGGAAATTCAACAACAACAAGTACTGATTATGTTGATACACCAGCAACACTTGCACTTTATCATCAATATCATCAGTAAACATAAATTCGTTTTTGTTTTTAATGCATCGAAGAATTCTTTTTTTTTTTTTTTTTGTTTCTATTGTATATTTTACATTCAGATAGTGTTCGTTTTTTTTTTGTTTTTGTTCTTTATTTTTTTTTTTTCTTTTCTTGCTTATATTCGAATCTCTTCATCTTTAGTATTTCACTTATTGTTTTTTCTTTGTGCATTTTTTTGCCGCATTGCGACAAATCATTCTATATTTACATTTCTTCTTTTCATGGCAATATTGTCTTTTTGCATGCTTTATATCTCTCTATTTTATATTTCGCATATGAAAACCAAAGAGTCAGTAGTTTCCAGTCATCGAAACAAGAGAACGATTTATTTTGGTGTCGTTATTTGTTTTTGTCATTTTAGTAGATGTGTTTTTTTTTCTTTGTTTTGTATAAACATATATATATATATATATA